ACACACATTCATACAGCACTCTACTACACACACATTCATACAGCACTTTACTACACACTAGGAATGCGCAATATAAATGGTACACGGTAGAAACGATAGAAATTTAGCCTACAATATAGATCTGTCTTGTTTTTGCTTTGTTTTGTTGTTTTTGAATGTCCAGAGGACCAGATTTAACTTTTTTAGATAGATCTGTCTTCTACCGGCTAACCGCAGTAACGCAGTGTCTGAAGTAAAATCAGTGGTCAGTTTAATCGTTACTTTTTTTTAGTTGAAAACTGTGCGCAAGTCACGTTAGTCTTTTCTTCGAGAGCAAAGTAGCAAAGCTACAAGCTAACTACAGCCGGCTTGCCATAGTGTTGCCGTATTCTGACGCATGCGCAAAACACTGTGTTCCATCGAAAGTTTTGTTTTTTTTTTCCATCGAAAGTTAAAGTACGCGTTGGTCAGCTTTAGAGAAACCTGCTCTCTGATCTGTGAAAAGAACGCTGTGTTGTGTGATTTTACTGCGAGACCCTCTGGTCACAGTCTCATATTGTGTCAGCTCCATTAAAGCAGGAGGCGCCCACTAGAGGTTGGAGGGTGAAGTGTTTCAGTGTAAAATGCTGCTCTGTTGCTCTTCATTTATTAAGACTGGAAACTGTTAAGAGTTAACAACATATTCTTTTGTTTAAAACATATGGCTAAAACTACACTTGATATCTTTTGCACTGTTTTGCACTACAAGAAAGAAGCCTAATACTTGATTTGTTTACTATTTAACAACTCTCTGGACCTAGTAGTGGAATTTTCTTAATTCAAAATATATGATGGCAAAAGGACACACTATGCTTTTTTTTTTTAGCAAGTTTTATACCAAAACATATAGCGATATATATCGTTATCACCACCCTTCACAATACATATCGTGATATGAATTTTATGCCATATCGCACATTCCTACTACACACACATTCATACAACACTCTACTACACACACATTCATACAGCACTCTACTACACACACATTCATACAACACTACTACACACACATTCATACAACACTCTACTACACACACACACATTCATACAACACTATACTACACACACATTCATACATACATTCATTCATTCATTGGAGGGCGACTGCACTAACCACCCAGCCACAGCCACCCCAAACCAATAAACAGTAAAAATACACAGACAGTTCAGATTTGTAGATGTATAGAGACCACTCAAACAACTTTTCACTGTTGGGCTTTTTGAATCCAAAGTAAAGATAAAGATAAATTATTTTTAATGGCCAACAGTGAATTTATTTCTGGTCACTAAGTATTTTTTATTTAACGACAGTATAACATCACCGTGTCAGCGGAATGTAAAACAAAGTAGCAGCTGCATCTTCAATGAGTGTCAAGAAGGTAAATGGGGTACTTAAAGTGACCAATATCAGCCAAATTTATCGGCCATCTCTAATTTAAAAGCTTTGATGCTTTAGTACGACAGAACTAATTGTTGTGTCACAAGCCTATCTTTTTCATTATGGCCAACACGAACTCATCAATCAGGATCCTTGTTCTGGTGATAGATGGTGATAACACTTACATGCCCCCGCTTAGACGCTCCAGACTGGTACAAAAGAAAGTTAAATGCTGGATCCAGGACAGCGGCCCCATACTGAGAGATTGTTTTGACCGAACAGACTGGCAGGTTTTCAGAGAAGCTGCTGAAAATGGAGGTTTGCTTGATCTTGACCAATACACATCCTCTGTTCTGGGTTACATTAGTACATGTACTGACACCGTCTCCACTATCAGAAATGTTAAAAGCTACCCAAACAGAAAACCTTGGCTGAATGCAGAGGTGCGTACCCTGCTGGAAGCCAGGAACACTGCCTTCAGGTCTGGAAACTCAGAGGAGCTGAGTAGGACAAGAAAAGAGCTGGTTGCTGGTATTAAGAGGGCCAAGGCCACATATGCAAAGAGGATCGAGGGTCAATTCATCTCACAAGACCCTCGGAGCATGTGGAGGGGCATTAAGTGCATAACAGATTATAAAGGAAGGAGTGAACAATGTCCCAAAGACCCATCTCTGCCTGATGCCCTCAACAAGTTCTATGCACGCTTTGAAGACCCGAACAGACCACCCAGCACCAGACTCACCTCACCACCGGATGAAGAGCATCTCAGCGTGACCTCAGCAGAAGTAAGGAGTACCTTCAGGAGGATTAATCCGCACAAGGCAACTGGCCCAGACAACATCCCCGGAAAAGTGTTGAAGGAATGTGCTGATCAGCTCTGCGAGGTGCTGGCAGACATCTTTAACACCTCACTTACCCTGGAGACAGTTCCCACCTGCCTGAAGACTGCCACCATCATCCCAGTCCCAAAAAGCTCTACAGTGACTGGTCTGAATGACTATCGGCCAGTGGCCCTCACCCCGATAGTCGCTAAATGCTTTGAAAAACTGGTCATGACTCGCATCAAAACAACCATCAACATCAACGAGGACCCTCATCAGTATGCATACCGTGAGAACCGATCAACAGAGGATGCCATCTCCTCTGTGGTCCACACTGCGCTCAACCACCTGGAGCAGAAAAACTCTTACGTCCGTATGCTCTTTGTGGACTTCACATCCGCCTTCAACACCATGATCCCCCAAACCCTGATGGACAAACTATTCACACTAGGACAAAGCCCCTCCATTTGCAACTGGGTACTAGACATCTTAACAAACAGACCACAGTTAGTGAGGATCCACAACCTCTCCTCCTCCACCATAACCCTCAGCACTGGCTCTCCTCAGGGATGTGTGTTGAGCCCCCTCCTGTTTACTCTGCTCACGTATGATTGTGCAGCTACCCATCCAGGCTGTCACATTGTAAAGTTTGCAGATGATACAGCGGTGGTGGGATGCATCACAGACAATGATGAGTCCAGCTACAGGCAAGAGGTGGAACACATGGAGAGCTGGTGCAGAGAGAATAACCTTCACATCAATGTGAAGAAGACAAAGGAGATGATTGTGGACTTCAGAAGGAACAAAAACATCTACACCCCCCTGAACATAAGAGGATCTGCGGTGGAAGTGGTCTCCAGCTACAAGTACTTGGGTGTACACATGAATGACAACCTCAGCTGGAGCAACAACACCACCAGCCTGATCAAGAAAGCTCATCAGAGACTCTACTTCCTCAGACGGCTGAGGCGAGCTGGTCTGGGAAGCTCAGTCCTCACCTCCTTCTACAGGTGTGCAGTGGAGAGCATCCGTGCTCGAGCATCAACGTGTGGCATGGAGGCTGCACAGCTGCAGAAAGAAAAGCTTTGCAGAGAGTGGTGAAGGTTGCACAGAAATCTGTCGGAATCAGCCTCCCCACCATCACAGACATCTACACCTCTAGATGCAGGAAGAGGGCCACCTGCATCATTAAGGACCCCACTCACCCAGCACACACACTTTTTGCCCCACTCCCCTCAGGAAGGAGGTTAAGGAGCATTAAGTGTAGAACCACTAGACTGAGGAACAGCTTCTACCCTGAGGCTGTTAAGACTCATGAATCTCTAACTAGAATAATCACTGTGAAAAACCATATCATGTTGCTGCTGATCTGTTTCATGTTGCTGCTGGTCTGTTTCAATGTTGATGTGTTCATGCGTGCACATCTGCTCACAGACTCATGTTCATGTTTGTGCTGATGTTCAATGTTTTATGTTATGAGTGCTTAGTGTACATTTAGTTGATGTTTTTCTTAGTTCATATCTTAGATGTTATTACTGTTTTTCTTATACATTTTATTGTTGGATGTAACTGGGACCCCGTGTACATAATTTCGCTCCACCACATGTACCACATGAGGTGCGAATGACAATAAGGAAACTCTGACTCTTACTCTGAGATAAAAAACAAATTTCATCAATATTTCATACCCAATGTTCATGTCTAATCAAAGCTTATTTGTCTGTCGACTACTTTGCAGGTTTCTTCTTCCTGTCAGGAGAATTCACACATCCACAGTGCTGATCTCTGTCGCCACAATGTGCAACATGATGGTGCTAGATACTCCTGACTCTTACGACCGGAACATGAGCTCTTCTAAGAACATTAATCTAATCAGCTTCCAGGTAAAAACACTTTCATTACCAGTATGAACCTCACCTTTTACTGATAACATGATGTATATTTATTACTGCCCAGTTACAGTACTCAAAACAAAACTAAACAAATTAAACATTATGAAACAACATTTTGTGATCTATTACACAGAGGGATAATTGGGACAGTTATTTATTATTTTAATTTTTAAGGTGTCATTGACAAGTTTCCTGGTTTTGGAGATGGTGTTGGGCCTGAGCTCAAACTTGACTGTGTTGGTCCTCTACTGTATGAAACATAATCTCATCAGCTCCGTCTCCAATATCATCACCATGAACCTGCATGTGGTGGATGTGTTGGTGAGTTTTTCCTTCTGTTGCCTGTAACCTTTTACAAGACTTGAACCTAACACCGTAGCTGACACGTCAGCTGTACTACAGCCTCTCAACACTAACTGCAGTAAACCCACTGTTCAATAGATAGTGGATTCACCATGGCTTCTGCCTGGCACAGAAAGGCAAAGGCAGATTTAATATTTTAGCCTGGGCGTGTTTGTTCGACTGTACCATTAGCACAAACAAAATCCCATGGATCACAGATGTTTTAATGAAACTTGGAGAAAGTACATTTTCTAATAAAGGTTATTATTTAGAGTCAACCTGAGTCAACCCCCACAGAAAAGTAATCTTAGTAATCTGAAAAACATCTGTACAGTATTTCCCTAAGATCAATTGCCTTGGAAGGACGCTCATATCTTTGCAGACTGTTGTCAATTTTTATTTTTTTTGGGGGGTGGGATGTGTGACAGAAGCAGCTACGTCTGTAGCTGTTTTGCTTTTCAGCTAGTGCATCTGAATTGTGCAGCACTAGCTTAGTGCTACATCAGTGCTGGCAGTTTTTGACCCGGGGGGGGGGGGGGGGGGGGGGGGGGGGGGAGGGGTGGGTGTGGAGGGGAGGTGGTGGGGGGGGGGGGGGGGGGGGGGGGGGGGGTTGTGGACAATTTTGGTATGTAACAATAATTACAGGGATGAATCCGAACAAGACCCAAACATTTTTTTCCAGCTTTGACTGCTTATCCCACTATTATTAACGGTTGGCGGAAATACGGCTGAGTTAAGGGGGCAGAAGATTGGAGCTTAGCAATGGACCCTGCTCTGACATGTCAGATATTTTGTGATCTCACCTGTTTGGGTCGTTGGCCACACGCATCTGCTGAGTGCCACGGCTGAATGAATGTCCATTTGGGCTGATGGATTGCTGGCAGTAGCTCATCTGAAGCTTAACTGAAATTTTACCTTTTTCAACCGGCCGGTCAATGCACGATCAAATGGCCGTGTGCAACTGGTGATAGTATGGCAAGCCATGCTTACATATAATAGGATCGCTGGCCGCGCACGTCCGCTGACGCAATAAAAAGCCGGACACCGACCCGACCCGCTCATTATTATGGCCCGGCCCGAATCCGGGTCGGGCAGGGCCGGGCTCCGGGTTCAGGTTAGAAATGACAGCTCTAGCCACTGGCCCAGACAACATCCTAGGGAGAGTGTTGAGAGACTGTGTTGAACAACTCTGTGTGGTGCTGGCCAATATCGTTAATTCCTCCCTCACCCTGGCGACTGTTCCCACCTGCCTGAAGACCGCTACCATCATCCCAGTTCCCAAGAGTTCTGCAGTGACTGGTCTGAACGACTACCGGCTAGTAGCCCTCACCCCGGTAATCACTAAATGTTTTGAAAGACTGGTCATGGGCCCACATCAACGCTAAAATCAACATCGGCGAGGACCCACACCAGTATGCATACTGCAAGAATCGATCAACAGAAGACGCCATCTCCTCTGTGGTCCACACTGCGCTTACTCACCTGAAGCAGAAGGACTCTTTTGTCCGTATTCTCTTTGTGGAATTCACACCTGCCCTCAACACCATGATTCTCCAGACCCTGATGGACAAAATACTCACACTAGGACTAAGCCCCTCCCTATGCAACTGGATCCTGGATTTCTAAACCAATAGGTCTGTGCAAATCCACAACTTCTCCTCCACCACCATAACCCTCAGCACTGGCTCCCTCAGGGTTGTGTGTTAAGACCCCTCTTGTTTACTCTGCTCACATAAGATGGCACACTTACCCATCCAGGCTGTTATATTATAAAGTTTGCAGATACAGCGGTGGTAGAATGCATCACAAACAATGATGAGTCCAGCTACAGGCAGGAGGTGGAACACCTGAAAAGCTGGAGCAGAGAGAACAACCTCCACATCAATGTGAAGAAGACGAAGGAGATGATTGTGGATTTCAGAAGGAGCAAACACACCTACACTCCCGCTCCTCATGAACATAGGGCGATCTGCAGTGGAAGTGATCTCCAGTTACAAGTACTTAGGTGTGCACCTGAATGACAACCTCAGCTGGGGCAACAACACTACTAGTCTGATCAAGAAAGCACTTCAGCAACTCTACTTCCTCAGGCAGCTGAGACGAGCTGGTATGGGAAGCTCAGTCCTCACTTCCTTCTACAGGTGTGCAGTGGAGAGCATCCTGTGCTCCAGCATCAACATGTGGCATGGAGGCTGCACAGCTGCAGAAAGAAAAGCTTCGCAGAGAGTGGTGAAGGCTGCACAGAAGGTGTTGGAGTCAGTCTCCCCACCATCACAGATATCTACACCTCCAGATACAGGAAGAGGGCCACCTGCATCATGAAGGACCCCACTCATCCAGCACACACACTTTTTGCCCCGCTCCACTCAGGAAGGAGATTGAGGAGCAATAAGTGCAGAACCAGTAGACTGAGGAACAGCTTCTACCCTGAAGCCGTTTGATTCAGAAATTCCTAATCAGAAAAATAACTAATTCACTTTAATTGGTGATGTCACTTTATCTGGGCTTCTGATTATCCATGCTGCTGATTTCTTGCCTTTAAGCTGCTGAATTCATACCCATCTGCTCACAACAGACTCATGTTCAGGCTGCTGTTTAATATACCATATTAAATTACATTATTATTGTTTAGTGTATATCTTAGATCCTTGTATACTGTTTTTTTAAAATACTTTACATTTTTGCTATTTTTGCATGTACCTGAGACCTTGAGTACAGAATTTTGTTCCACCTCATGCACCACATGTGATGCGAATGATAAGAACCTTGAATTTAGTGAATCCAATAGATTTTCTGGCCTTGCTGCCCACACCTGTTTTAGATGATACTGATGGAAGAAGAGAAAGTGAGGGAAATGAGGGTTTATTGCAACTATTATTGTCATGATAATATTAAAACAATCATACATCATACTACAAGATTTTTCAAATATTTAGCTCTATCTGAAGGTTTACCTAAAATCTAGTGGTTTGTGACATTTTTCTAATGGTACAGACAAACTAACACAAACATAGCTCTCCTTTTACCTACAGTGATGGGCAATGGAACGTTATGCTACCATTGCACTCTTCTGTACTGTATACGGATCAAATAAGTAGTAAAAACAGGTGTTTCTGTTCAGTGCTGTTACAGGTTCGTCTTCCAAATGTCAGACAGTTTTTGCTAGATTAAGTGTTCTTTAAACTATTCACATTTTATAAAACTCAAAACGACATTTTTACCTAAACATTGTTGATATTATATCTTTAATCTGTATGCCTTTCCTTTATCATTAGTTCCAACTGATCCCAAGAATGTACCCGTTTTTTGTTGGTTAATGGTCTGTAACAGACATAAGAACAAAAAATACTGTCAGTTACAAACTAAATTTCTATCTCCTCTCCAGGTGTGTGTCTGCTGCATCCCATTAACAGCTGTAGTGGTTCTCCTTCCTCCAGAGGAAGACAAAGCCATGATCAGCTGCTTTCATGAGGCGTTCATCTCCTTTGCAAGTGTGGCTACTGCTGCTAATGTCCTGGCTATCACCGTGGATCGTTATGACATCTCAGTACGGCCAGCAAACCATGTGCTAACCATGAGCCGAGCTATGGCTTTGATGGGAACCATTTGGGTCTTATCCTTCATCAGTTTTTTGGTTCCATTCATTGAAGTAGGCTTCTTCATTAGTTCTGGTTCAGATCTTGTGAACCACACTACAGTTGTGACTTTGGCTGACACAAATGAATATTACACAGAACTGGGTTTGTACTATCACCTACTCGCTCAGATTCCTATATTCTTTTTCACAGCTCTGGTAATGCTGGTGACTTACTACAAAATTCTTCAGGCACTCAACATACGCATCGGAGCACGATTTCAACACAACCTGCCTAAAAAGAAACAAAAGAGCAGAAATACTATCTCTCTGACCACAGCAACACAAGCTGAGGCAACAGATGCTTCACAGAGCAGTACAGGGGTCAAAGGAGGTGGAAATGCACCTTTAGGTATTCGAGCATCAGTATCTGTAATAATTGCATTAAGACGAGCAATGAAGCGTCATCGGGAAAGAAGGGAGAGGCAAAAAAGAGTGTTTAGGATGTCTCTTCTGATCATCTCCACTTTTCTCCTCTGTTGGACTCCAATAACTGTGCTCAACACAATAATTCTCAGTACTGGACCCAGTGGGTTGACTTTCCGCCTCCGTTTGGGCTTCCTGGTGATGGCGTATGGGACCACAATCTTTCATCCACTCCTCTATGCCTTCACAAGGCAGAAGTTTCAAAAAGTTCTTAAGAGCAAGATGAAAAAGAGGGTGGAGTCTGTGGTTGAAGCAGAACCAACACCAAAGAATGTAGTTATTCGTAACTCATGGATCGACCCCAGGAGAAACAAGAAGGTTACCTTCAGTGACACTGAAGCCAGACAGAAATGTCTGTGCTCACCAGATGCAGAGTGACAAATGAAACCAGGTGTAAATAAGTATAAATGGTTCACACAAAAAAATTAGGGCAAAGAGTCCAAAAGCTGGGTTTGTTCAGAAATGTTTGTTCAAATAAAATGTGGAAGAATATACCGTGTGTAAAAGAAGTTTAAACTGATGTTCGAGTTAGAGTGGAGTGCATACAATGGTCATCTTATTAAAAGGATACTGAAATGATGGCTTCAACATGTCTTCATTAAGAATAATAAGGATAGGAGGAAAACAACAGATGTTTTCATGTTATACTCTTATTAAATGAAAAACTACCATCAGCTTTCAGTTGAAATTCTAAATTTGCATTTTCAGTTCTTTCTTCAGAACTATATAAAGACTTTTAGATACTTGAAAAGGAAAATTCATTCTTAATGTAAAAAACACCCCTATGATGAGAAAAAGAAATGGACTTGATGTTCACTCGCATAGTCGTGGGCCACCGGGGCCCCACTCTGGAGCCAGGCCTGGAGATGGGGCACGCGGGCGAGCGCCTGGTGGCCGGGCTTTGACCCATGGAGCTCGGCCGGGCACGGCCCGAAGGAGACGTGGGTCACCCTTTCCATGGGCTCACCACCTGTGGGAGGGGCCAAAGGGGTCGGGTGCAATGTGGGATGAGTGGTGGCCAAGGGCGGGGACCCTGGCGGTCTGATCCTCAGCTACAGAAGCTGGGTATTGGGACGTGGAATGTCACTCACTGGTGGGGAAGGAGCCTGAGCTGGTGTGTGAGGTTGCGAGATTCCAGCTAGAAATAGTCAGACTCACTTCTACGCATGGCTCTGGAACCAGTTTCCTTGAGAGGGGTTGGACACTCTTCCACTCTGGAGTTGCCTCTGGTGAGAGGCGCCGAGCAGGAGTGGGCATACTTATTGCCTCCCATCTTGGTGCCTGTGTGTTGGGGTTCACCTCGGTGAATGAGAGGGTGGCCTCCCTCCGCCTACGTGTGGGGGGACGGGTTCTGACTGTCATTTGTGCTTATGCATCAAACAGCAGTTCAGATTATCCACCCTTTTTGGAGTCCTTGGAGGGGTTCCTAGAAAGTGCACCTCCTGGGGACTCCCTTGTTCTGCTGGGGGACTTCACTGCTCACGTAGGCAATGACAGTGAGACCTGGAGGGGTGTGGTTGGGAGGAACGACCCCCCTGATCTGAACCAGAGTGGTGTTCTGTTGTTGGACTTCTGTGCTCGTCATGAATTGTCAATAGCGAACACCATGTTCAAGCATAAGGGTGTCCATATGTGCTCTTGGCACCAGGACACCCTAGGCCGCAGTTCAATCGACTTTGTCATCATCTCATCTGATCTGTGGCCACATGTCTTGGACACTTGGGTGAAAAGAGAGGGGTGGAGCTGTCTACTGATCACTACCTGGTGGTAAGTTGGCTCCAATGGTGGGGGAGGATGCAGGTCAGACCTGGCAGACCCAAATGTATTGTGAGGGTTGCTGGGAACGTCTGGCAGAGTCTCTTGTGAGACGGAGCTTTAACTCCCACCTCCGGGAGAACTTTGAACATGTTCCGGGGGAGGTGGGAGACATTGAGTTAGAGTAGGCCATGTTCCGTGAAAACTATTATCGAGGCGGCTTATCGGAGCTGCTGCCGCAAAGTTGTCGGTGCCTGTCGCGGCGGCAACCCTCGAACCCGGTGGTGGACACCGTCCATGAGGGATGCTGTCAGGTTGAAGAAGGAGTCCTATCGGGCCTTTTTGGCCTGTGGGACCCTGGAAGCAGCTGATGGGTACCGGCAGTCCAAGCGACATGCGGCTCGGGTGGTTGCCGAGGCAAAAACTCGGGCGTGGGAGGAGTTCAGAGAGGCCATGGAGAATGACTTTTGCACAGCTTAGAGGCGATTCTGGTCCACCATCCGGCGTCTCGGGGGGGGATAGAGGTACACCACCAACACTGTTTATAGTGGGGGTGGTATGCTGCTGACCTCAACTCGGGATGTCGTGGGTCAGTGGGCAGAATACTTTGAAGACCTCTTCAATCTCACCGGCACGTCTTCCACTGAGGAAGCGGAGCCTGGGGACTCTGGGTCGGGCCCTCCAATCTCTGGTGCTGAGGTCACCGAGGTGGTTAAAAAGCTCCTCGGTGGCAAGGCCCCAGGGGTGGAGATGAGATTCTCCTAGAGTCCGTTAAGGCTATGGATGTTGTAGGGTTGTGTTGGCTTACGCAACTCTGCAATATTGCATGGACATTGGGGGAAGTTCCCCTGGATTGGCAGACCGGGGTGGTGGTCCCTCTATTCAAAAAGGGGGACCGTGGAGTGTGTTCCAATTACAGGGGGATCACACACTTAAAGCTCCCTGGTAAAGTCTATTTGGAAGTTCTGGAGAGGAGGATCCATCGGATAGTCAAACCTCGGATTCAGGAGGAGCAGTGCGGTTTTCGTCCAGGTTATGGAACATTGGACCAGCTCTACACTCTCAGCAGGGTCCTGGAGGGTGCATGGGAGTTTGCCCAACCGGTCTACATGTGCTTTGTGGACTTAGAGAAGGTGTTCGACCGTGTCCCTCGGGGAACCCTGTGGGGGGTACTCTGGAAGTATGGGGTACCGGGTCCTTTGATACGGGCTGTTAGGTCCCTGTATGACCGGTGTCAGAGCCTGGTCCGCATTGCTGGCAGTAAGTCAGGCTTGTTCCCCGTGAGAGTTGGACTCCGCCAAGGTTGCCCTTTGTTACCAATTCTGTTCATAACTTTTATGGACAGAATTTCTAGGCGCAGCCAAGGTGTTGAGGGGATCTGTTTTGGTGGCCTTAGGATTGCGTCTCTGCTTTTTACAGATGATGTGGTCCTATTGGCTTCATCAGATCGTGATCTACAGATTTCGCTGGAGCGGTTCGCAGCCGAGGGAGACACGGCCGGGATGAAGATCAGTTCCTCCAAATCCGAGGCCATGGTCTTGATCCGGAAAAGGGTAGAGTGCCCTCTCCGAGCCAGGGAGGAGGTCCTGACCCAAATGGAGGAGTTCAAGTGTCTTGGGGTCTTTTTCACGAATGAGGGAAAAATGGAACGTGAGATCGATAGGCAGATAGGTGCAGCATCAGCAGTGAAGCGGGCGCTGTACAGGTCTGTCGTGGTGAAGAGAGAGCTAAGTCAAAAGGCGAAGCTCTCAATTTACCGATCGATCTACATTCCTACCCTCATCTATGGTCATGAGGTTTGGTTTATGACTGAGAGAACGAGATCTTGGATACCATATCATACCATACAATTTTATTTATAAAGCACTTAAAACAGCGACAAGGCCAACCAAAGTGCTGTACAGATAGAACAACAGGTAACTCACAAAGCAACATACAAAATGTAGAAAATCAGAATATAGACATAAAAACGATGCAGTTAATAAAAATGACGACTAACCTGTGTGAAGCATACAGGTTCAAAACACAGATCATCTGGTGTTGAAAGCTACTGAATAGTAGTGGGTTTTCAAACGGGATTTGAAAACCGAGAGGGAGGGGGCTTGTCTGACAAGCAGAAGTAACTTGTTCCAAAGTCTTGGGCCTGCTACAGAGAAGGCCCTGTCACCTCTGCGCTTAAGACGAGTGGCCAAAATGAGTTTTCTCCGCAGGTTGTCTGGGCTCTCCCTTAGAGATAGGGTGAGAAGCTCAATCATCCGGGAGGGACTCAGAGTAGAGCCGCTGCTTCTCCACGTCAAGAGGAGCCAGTTGAGGTGGCTCGGGCATCTGTTTAGGAGGCCTCCTGGACGCCTCCCTGGTGAGGTGTTCCGAACACGTCCCACCGGGAGGAGACCCAGAGGAAGACCCAGGATACGCTGGAGGGACTATGTTTCTCGGCTGGCCTGGGAATGCCTCGGGATTCCCCCGGAGGAGCTGGACCAAGTGGCTGGGGAGAGGGAACTCTGGGCCTCCCTACTTAGGCTGCTACCCCCGCGACCTGAACCCGGATAAGTGGAAGAAAATGGATGGAATGTAAAAAATTACTTAAATTAAGGGCATTTAAATCATATGTCAATATCTGAACAGTGGTGCATGTTTACATAGGGACTACAGAGGCCTCGGGTACAAAAAATTGCATCCGCAGTCCAAATTTCCAGGATGCTGCTTCCCACATTTACAGATTTTTTTTTTGAAAGTGTGGATAAATAATTAATTGGTTGGGTATTTGGCATGAACCTAAACCAGAAGTTATATCCTGGTTTACTCTGTCATTACCACAGGAGTGTTATATTTTTTTAAATATCAAAAACTGTTAAAGAAAATATTATTATTTTTATTATTATTATTATTATTAAGATGATGATGAATTAGGACTAGTTAGTCTAACAAAGCTGACTGATGGATATCACAAGCTTATACGTTTTTCTATGTTGGGGAAAAATGCAATTACCGTAAAATGTAAACCGTTCGACCAACCCACTGACCACCTCAATCATTTGAGGAAAGTAAATTTTGTAGCATAAAAGTATATATTTTATATATATATATATATATATATATATATTTATATATAGATAGTTAGTTTTTTTAAAAATTTGATCCTAACTTACTTTCAACTTTTAAGCTTAATTATATTTCAAACAGCAATTTACAATACAAATGATACCTAAAGCTTTTCAATTTTTGGTTAGAAAACAAATGTAAATTATTTCTTAAAAGTAGTATCTCTATGGGCTGGGACTCTTGGAGAGTATTTGGTGACTCCAAATTGGGAGAAATGTACAAATATTCCATTGGAGTCTCAATGAATTGTGAGCGATTGCAACCAGACAGCTATGCAGGCACATTTTGCACAGTTAATTCTAGTAATTTCAGTAATTTGCACCCGCCTTGGCTGCTGCACCCACAATTACAATTTAATCCCCTGAAGTTCACTTCAGAAATGAAGACTGGCATATATTTACCTGTTTTTTAAAATAATTATTATTTGTCCAAGGTATGGGTTTTAGTCCTGGACATGCTTTCTGCCAAAGGAGAGCCCCCCTGCAGGTGTCAAAATACATTTCTTTAGCACATAAGATGAAGTGCAGCAACAAAAATGAGACTGATAATAATAAATAAATACTTTGCACAAATTGAGAAGGGTTTGAGTCTTGACATGAGTTGAAAACTGGGAGTGGATGAGCACTGCGCTGCACGGGAGCTACACATTTTTCAAACAACCAATTCAAAAATCT